AAAATCTTAATTTGCTTTACCTGAGTATACCTAATATGAATTCATTTCCCCAGAATACCTTCTCCCTATCAGAATCATGGGTTCCTCCATAGCGAAATTCAACTAATCGGTCGGGAAAGAAGAGATCAATTCTCTTCTCTTCAATCATATCTTTCAGCTTCTCAGAAATCATTTGGCAAAATCGGTCCCAGCGAGGGCGCACAACGATGCGCAATGACCATTTCTGAAAATAGAACGTTCATGTATATTCCAGCAGATTTTGAAACATCTGAAGTTTGATTTGCTATCTCAGCGAATGTGGAAAACCAATCTTCAATCAAGAAAACTTCACCGATTGTGAAACTTTTTACACCATATGATTTCTGCCTGCAAAGCATAACGTAAGTCAAGGACTGTAGCCCCCCTTCCTCACCTCAAATATTTCCCAATATCTGCCCATGGCAGACGGCAATATTCTTCAACGAACTCCCCCATAAAATAAGTTTGTATAGTTATCAAATGGATGAATCTCATATAATCCGCCCTCCAACATGGCTGAATAATTTTAATAGAACATGACCATTTGAATGTACGTTTAGCATGATCACTGCTGAAAATAGCATAAAATTCCTTATTCACGCGTTTCAAGCTCCAAAACTTCTGGAAGAAACTTTCATTCTATTGATATTAATCTTCGTTACATACCTTCATATGTGAATAGCACGATGCTCCATCTATCACACGCTTCAAAATAACTTCACGAGAAAGCAATTCAAATACGGATGAATGCTCGATTCGATCTTGGTTACATCTTCTTCCATACATTAACTATTGACTCCTACAGTTAGCGATGCAACACTTCTTTTTCTGCAGTTCATTCCTCAAACCTTAAAGAGTCTCACCTATAATTACAAAAATTGAAACAGAAAACGACAGTAGTAGAATACAAGAAAGAGTGTTTCTGAATTAAGTTTTAGCAACTTGAAGACATTTTACTCCCCGGGTGTTCTTTCACGAATTATATCATGACAGATGGAGAAAGAAGCTTTCCACATTTGATGTTGTCAATTTGAGCATAAAACGTTGACAAGAAGACACAGAAAAAAAGGTTAATTTAATAAGAATCTATTTCCTTTAAGTGGAGCTTCCTCGATATGATTAACATATTTCATTTTTGATTGATGATATCGAAATTTAAAAATGGGATTTAAACCTAACTTAACTCTCTCCTTAAGTGACTTTTGCGCCTTACTTCATGCGGGTGAAATATATAAACATTTTTGATCCCCACATGTCGCTAATGTGGCCGCTGTCTGTCGTTTAATTTTGAGCGTTGAGCGGTGTCATTTCGTGACACCGCTCAACGCGCGCGCAAATCATCACGTTTCATTTTTTACGCGCGACAAGCGTTGAGCGGTGTCTGAAGACGTTTCATTTTTCACGTGTGACGAGCGTTGAGCGGTGTCTGAAGACG